GGCAGGGACACCTTCCACCATCCCAGGTGGCTCCAAGCCCTGTCCATCCTGGCCTTGGACACTCCCAGGGATCCAGGGGCAGCCACAGCTGCTCTGGGCACCTGTGCCAGGGCCTGCCCACCCTCCCAGGGAAGAATTTCCTCCTAATGTCTAATCTAAACCTACTTTCTTTCAGTGTGAAGCCATTCCCCCTTCTCCTGTTGCTCCAGTCTTTCTTCATCTTTCCTGTAGGCTCCCTTCAGGTACTGGAAAGCCCCAATTAGGTCATCCCAAATCCTTCTCTTCTCCAGGCTGAACAACCCCAGTTCTCTCTCTTTCCTCACAGCAGAGCTGCTCCATCCATCTGATCATCTTGGTGGCTCCTCTGGCCTCATTCCAACAGGCCACAGTGGTGAATTTGCCAATTAAGCAGCAGATCCTCCTGGAATCCCTGGCATTGTCTGAGCTCCATCCCTTGCTTTCCACCTGAATTTTTAGAGGTAGTGTGGCAATTCAACCTCCAGAGATTTCAAACACTTCAGTCACAACCTCAGGGCTGGTTTGTGTCAGTAAATGCTGTCATGGTCCATGTCAGAGAGGGTTCCTGCAGCCAGGAAATCTGTTCCTGGCCCCAGTGATTGCAGCCTGCTCAAGGTACTGCTTGCTTCCAGCCAGGCATCTCTTACTGCATCCCCAAAAATCTCACTATACCCACTGCAGACCAGCCCTGGGCCAGGGACAGGAGCAACAGGGCTGGAGGAAGAAATGACCAACCAAGGCAGGGAAATAGGTGGCAAAAAAAAGCCAGGAAGGAAGTCAGGTCTGGCTGCTCAGCCAACCAGGAGGAAAAAGGGACAGATCTCCCAATCCTGATGCTGTTAGAGCTTTCTAGAAGGCTGAAACCCTCAAATAAGTAAATCTCACTGAGTAAGAAGAGAAATATGAAGAACAGGAATTGCTTTTGTGTGTGGGTTTTGTTTTTTTTTTTTTTTTAAAGCATTTTAGTGGTTTATAAAGATTCCAGCAGCGCTCTGGGAAAGCACAGCCTCCCGTTCCAGGCACCATGTTCAGCACAGGAATATCCTGGCTCTCGACCTGCAGGTCGAGAGGTACCATAAATTTTTCTGGTGATAGTGCATGGCAGGCCAGCATGCAAAACTTTTCCTGCTGCTTTACTATTTGAATCATGTTTTTATCACACCAGCAGATAATCATCTCACTCGTGTTCCAGAAGCGAAGCTCGTGTGGATGTGTTTGAGAAGCCTGAAAATAAATATATTCACATGTGTTTGCCAGTGTTGTTGAACACATGGTGTGTCTCAGAGCCTCTGGATTTCACTCTCTTGCAAACTGGCCACTCTTAAAAGCTCAGAAGTACAACTTCAGTCCAAATGCTGCAATTTCATACCCCTTCCACAGCAGATACTAATGCCATCCCCTAAATGATGAATTAGAGATGAATGGAGATGAGCTAGAAATTAATAATAAATTGGAAAGCATGGATAATCCTCGAGATTTTCTCTTGAGGACACTTTAAACCTATTTGGCTACAGGCAAATAGATGTTTTTAATCCCAGTTGCTGTGTAGAATTTGCATCCTCATTCTGGTGGCAGGGTGGAAATGCTGGGTGGCATCTTTGGATGACTTGGTGGCAGCAGCTTGTCTTTAGATACTGAGACTGGGATTAGAGAAGTTCAATTATTTTCTAATCTTATCTAGGAGTGTGCTTAACAACCCTTTCCATGAAGAATTTTCCCCTTATATCCAATCTAAACCTCCCCTGGTGCAATTTAAGGCCATTTCCTTCTGTCCTGTCTCTTGTTCCCTGGGAGCAGAGCCTGACCCCCACCTGGCTCCAACCTTCTGCCAGGGAGTTGTGTTCAGCCAGATCATTTATCATCTTTCTATACCTGTCTTGGCCTTCAGTGGTTGTGTGGGAGTTATTTTTTGACTCCAGCAGGTACCTGGAGGTGAAATCTGTGGCCCAGCTGTTTGGGCTTGAACTGGGGCTGTGCTTCAGCTCTGGCTGTGCAGGTCTGGCCTCCCAGAATCAAATCCAAACAAATGAAAACAGGGATAATAAAACAGGAAAAAGGCTAGCTGAGAGAGAAAAACAGCTTTGGAAGGGCTAAGGTGAATCTCTGCTCTCCTGAGAGGTGAATAAAAGGTACAATCATGTTTTCTCATCTCCTCCTCAGCCTCAAAGGATGACAAACCTGGTGGTTGCCTGAGCGTTTTCCACCTTGGATCCATCAGTTTTTAGGATGGTTTGGAGGGTCTCCAAGTGTCTTCATCCCTCTTGATGGCTGTTCTGAGGGTCCTTGTGGATCTCATGTCCCTCAGCCAGGGCTGCAGGGGAACTTTTGGTGATCCATGTGCAAAACCAGTGCTGCAGGTGCATGTTGGATGACTTGGTGGCAGCAGCTTGTCTTTAGATACTGAGACTGGGATTAGAGAAGTTCAATTATTTTCTAATCTTATCTAGGAGTGTGCTTAACAACCCTTTCCATGAAGAATTTTTCCCTTAGGTGACACATCTCCTGATCCACCCAGGAGAGGCTGTGGAGGTACCTGAGTGTCTGATACTGCTTCTTGTGTCCAGGTTTTATCCATGACATCATGAAGGATTTACTCCTCACTCTCCTTAAAATGTTTTAGAGCAATTTCTGTGCCTGTGCAGAGGTATTTGCCTTTTTTTTTTCCCCCCAGGATGTTCTGTGGGGGTTGTCCGAGTTTACGTAACTTCCCATATGTTTCCCTCTTCTTGTAGAAACTTGAAGATAAATTGTGAAATGCAGGGAGCTGCTCTAAAAGGATACATCCTCAGCTGGAGCTTGGCCTGTTTGCAGCCAGAAAAGGGGAACCTGGGAGCCCTCTGTCCCTGTTTCCTCTCTGGCACAGCTGAGTGAGCAGCATGGGATGGAGCACCTGATGCTGCCCTGTTTCCCAAGGCTGGGATGCTGCTGTGGTGAGCTGGCAGCAGGATCCAGAGCAGGCACGTGCTGGGAGGGTGGTGGTTTCTCCATGGAGGGGCTGCAGCCCCAGCATCACCCCTGCAACTCTTTTCTCTTTCCAAAGCTGCTGCGTTCCCTGCTGTGCCCCTCTGCCCAGCAGAGAGGGTGTTTCAGGTGGAGCTTTATGTCAGTGTTTGTTGAACCACTTTGCTGGGCTGGGTATTGCCAGGTGCTGCTGGGTTTGCATTCCCATGTGTGTCATGGAATCATGGAATTGTTTGGGTTGGAAAAGCCCTCTATGATCACTGAGTCCAACCATTCCCCCAGCGCTGCCAAGGCCACCACTCACCCATGTCCCCAAGTGCCACATCCACACGGCTTTTAAACCCCTCCTGGGGTAGGCCTGTTCTGGACAACCTGTTCCAATGCCTGACTGCCCTTTCCATGAAGAAATTTTCCAAAACATCCAATCTAAACCTCCTCTGGCCCAGCCTGAGGCCGTTCCCTCTCCTCCTGTCCCTGTTCCCTGGGAGCAGAGCCCGACCCCCTGGCTGTCCCCTCCTGTCAGGAGTTGTGGAGAGCCACAAGGTCCCCCCTGAGCCTCCTTTTCTCCAGGCTGAGCTCCTTTCCAGCTCCCTCAGCCTCTCCTGGTGTTCCAGCCCCTTCCCCAGCTCCATTGCCCAAATCCAGGGGATCTGAGGGCTCTCAGTGTCTTGCAGATACACATTTATTGGTTCCTGTGGGATACAAGCTCAGCAGCTGGTAGAAAATTCATGGCTTTTGTTCTCTGCAGACTTGAACAAAGCCCTTCACTCATCACCCAGGCCATTTCTGCTTAGCATTTTTGAAAATGGTTCAGTCCCAAGTGCAAGAGGAATTGTAGGCAAGATGCTGGCAGAGCTTGGAGCCTGCCTTCCACTGGGGAGTTACACTGTGTGTAATTAGGGTCTCCAAAAAAAAAAACCCTTTCCATTCCCTCTCCAAGCCCCCTGGAGCAAAGCCACTGAACAAATTCCTCTTTTGAACTTCAAGGCTGAGAACTGCACTTGTCCTCTGACAATTGCTCTTGTTTGACTGGTGAACAGAGAACGAGGAACTCTGTACACAAGTGGATGGGAGAGGTGGAAAGTCCTGAGGGGAAAAAGTGCTTCAGGGATGAGCCACACCAGGTCTGATGATAACTGGCTGGAAACTTCAGCCAGGGCTCCTGGACAGCCAGGCAGCCTCAGCAGTGCCAGGAAAACTGAGCTCCCCCACATCCAAACCCAGGAATTGACCCATTCACTGGGTTTTTGGAAGTTACTGCAAGATCATGAGTGTCTTTAGGAAGCCAGGAACTTTGCAGTTGCTCAATACTTGCTCAGCTGCTTTGGCACGGGTTATTTGGGATGGTTTTATTTTTGTGGGATGGTTTCAGAGCTCCCAGTGTGGGGTCTTTGGAGATGAGTGTGTTTAGCTGCTGTGGAAAGAGGTCCTTGAGAGGTGGGGTCTGCCTTGGTGGCTGTGGCTTCACTGGAGGTGACATGACAGCAGCCTCTGGGCAGCACAGCAGGCTAGAACACCAGTCTTGGAGTTTAATCAGATTAAACTGTCTCTGCTGCACAGAGTTCCTGCCTTTTGCTGCCCAGAATGCCAGAGTTTCATAGAATTACTGAATCATGCAGTGGTTTGAGTTGGAAGAGACCTAAAGACCATCTGGTTCCAACCCCTGCCATGGGCAGGGACACCTTCCACCATCCCAGGCTGCTTCAAGCTGTGTCCAGCCTGGCCTTGGACACTTTCAGGGATCCAGGGGCAGCCACAGCTTCTCTTGTGTTTGCAGGGTGCAAACCTCACCAGCTACAATTTGGCTCACTTTGGGAGAGAAGCTTTAAAATTGTGTTCTGAAGCTTTTAAGGATTCATCTTCTTAGGAAACTTGTGATGCTGTGTGTGTGCAGGGGGATTTCATTTTGGGCTGTTCAGTGCCCCACAGGCCAAGAAAAGTGGCATGGATTTAAAGGAATTTGAGCTCCTGAAGCCCTGAAATTCCACCCAGCTGTGCCAGAGAACGTATCACTGCCCAGCTGAGATTGCTGCTTTATATTTAATATTGAATTCTCCCTCCCCTGCTGCTTCATTCAGGCAGTGGAGTTGCAGAAATGTCAGTAATTAACTAATGAAGGGCGTGGTGGTAGAGCAGTAACAGCTTCCATGGGTGCAAGGATGTTTTCTTGGCTTTTCAATCCAGCATGGAAAGGTCACCTCTGCCACACTCATCGTGGCTGTGACTGTCCCATCCCACATCCAGCACTTTCTGTGCCACTTCAGCTGCTTCCAGCCCCTTGGATGGTCATGGAATGCATTCCATGTCCCCCTCCAGAATGGGATTTCAGGCAGGCTCCCAGTGCTGCCATCAGATCCCGAGCCCAGGGATAGGAACACGATTGCCACTTCCACTATTTTTGGGGTTTTTTTCCATTTTGCCTGTTACAGGAATTGTTGCTGACCTCGTCAAGCATTCCTTGAGCTTTGTCTTCTCCTGCAGGACTGGGCTGTTGGCACAGGGCATTCCCAGGAGGATTGTTTTGCTGTGGAGATGACAAATGGCAGCTCAGCTCCTTTGGGATGCTGTGACCACTTCCCAAGGGAGCACCTGGAATGCAGAGCTCAAGCCTCCATGTCTCTCCCTGTCCTTATTGAAATCCTTATTTAAGGTCCTGCAGGCTCTGCCCTGGGGAGATTCAGAGTTTCACTGGATTCATGAATTTTGGTGGGATTTTTGGAGAGCCAATCCTGTGTCAAGGCTTGGGAGGTCTCTGACAGGTGCTGTGGCACAAACCCACCTTTGGACTTGGGCTACCAAGTTCCATCCATGGGCCAGCTCTCGGGTAACAGAGGCTTTTGCCAAAGACAGGGTGGTATTTTGTGTCATTCCTGTAGGAAGCTCTTGCAGTGACCCTCTTGTGGCTTTTCAGCCAGTTCTGAAGCATCTCTGGCTACCCCAATTTACCTGTGGTCACTTGATGTGCAGTTCCAAATGACCCTGTCAAACTGTGGTGTTGGATGTTATGTTAGAATAATTTTTTCTCGTTGCTGATGGTTTTACTTCATATATATTTTACAAGCTGTGCCATGATTTTACTTTGAAACAGTCAAAACATTGAATAAAACACTCCAAAGCTTTCAAAGCATTTGAACTACATTCTCCCTCAGACATTCTCAGTCATTTCCATCCTGGATCTGACCCCAGATATGCTCTGAGCTATGCCCAGGTTGCAGAGCTCCTTGGATATATCTTCAGAGACAAACAAGAGGCCTGGGGAACATTGGGAATGATGGTTTGGGGGAGAAGAACTTAAAATAAATGTGGTGGTTAAATCTGTTCTTGCTACTAAGAGCCACTTGAATTTATTTTTGGGAGCAATTTTGGTCCATCCTATTCTGGAGCTAAATTTATTACTTACTTTTTTGGATTATCTCTTCCTTTTCTCTTGGCCTTCAGCTGCCAAACCCTCCCTTCTCTCCCCCGTGCCCTGGCACACAGAATTGCAGCATGGAGGCACTGAGCTCGTGCAGGTCTCAATTTTGGAAGCAACAAAAAGATGATGACTTGAGAAAAACCTTCTTGTTTGTACTGGATTTTGTCAGAGCCCAGCGATGTTGAACAGGCACCTTGGAAGCTTCGTGCCACAGGGCTCCCAAGTGTTTCTGCTGTTCATGGAATGGTTTGGGTTGGAAAGACCTTAAAGAGCATCCATTCCAACCAGCAGGGACACCTTCCACAGACCAGGTTGCTCCAAGCCCCCATCCAACCTGGCCATAAAGCCACAAACACCCTCTGCTTTTGAAAACCTGTCCCCTAAATGGTCTTTGTGGACAAAATCACACTTACACCAAACACTTGCCCTCTTAATTCTCACATCTGTTATTTTTCTTTCCTCTGGGTAGGGTTGTTTTTTAACAGCTTTGAGGGCAAAGATGTCTATTTGTTAAGGGTTTCCTGGCTGCAGAGTTGAAAATGTAATATTCCTGTCTTCTGTGAGCTCTCTTCCATGAACCTTCCTTCATTTGCCACCCTCCTCCCATTTATCAAAGCCTGCCTTGCTCCCAGATTTGGTGCCTGATGAGGGGCTGGGGTTATTCCCATTGTGTCACACCAGGCCCCTGCTGTCCCCAGGGAAAAGCTGTGAAATGAAAGGAGGAGTCGGTGCTTCCAGGCTTGTTGAGAAATGCTGGCTTTTGAAATGCCCTAATCCTGAAGTCTCTTGCTTGGAGAACAGGTCTGATGTGCCTAGTGATGCTGACCACTTCCCACTCCAGTTCCCTATTGCCTGGCCCAAAAGGGATTTGTTCCCTCAGAAATGGGCTCGTCCAGCCCACTGTAGGTAATGAGCAGCTGAGGAAGCAACACTTGAATTTTTTCCTAGAATAAAACATCCTGCAGGGACTTCCATCTTTAATAATAATTTGTGAAACCTTGTGATCTCTGATTTCAAGTGCTGTGAGCTGGACTCGGTGGTTTAGTCACAGAATCACTGAATGGTTTGGGTTGGAAGGGACCTTTAAAGGCCATCCCATTCCAACACCCTGCCAGAAGCAGTGACAACTTCCACTGGACCAGATTGCTCCAAACCCCATTTACCCTAGCCTTGGACACTTCCAGGGATGGAACAGCCTGGACAACCTATGTCAGTGCTTACCACCCTCACAGGGAATAATTTCTGCCCAATATCCAATCCAAACTCTTTCAATCTTGTCTTCCAACCTTCCTTTCACCTTAGTGTCAGCTGTGCCTCTTTCACCATTAACATCTGCACTTAAAATACCCATTTCCTGCTTAATAATTGTGGGGGTCAAGCCTTGTCTTGTCCAAATTGGGTGTTCTCTGTGGCCCTGGTGCAGCAGCACTGGCCCCCTCCAGTAGTCCCTGTCTGAGCAGGGAGTGCTGCGAAAGGAAATGAAGGTGCAAAGAGCTGATAAGTTGTTTCATGGCAGGGGTGAGCTGATGTAAGATGGAGCTGGTGTTGTTTTGGAGAGCTGATTTTTCTGTTCCCTCCTTTCTGCATGTGTTGGACCACGTCTGGTGGTGAGTAAGGCAGCTCAGCTTGCTTACCTTGGCATGAACGCCGTGCTCTGGTGTGGCACCCTGGCCTGGACAGCGTTTTGGCAGGTTGGCAAAGAGCTGTGTCCCACTGGGGCTGACACAGAGCCTGGCACGGGTGGTTCTAGGAGTGCTTGGGGTGGGAGGTGAGGGAAAGGGAGCTGTCACCTGGTGGCAGTGGCCTGTGAGGTCATCCAGCACAGAATTCCCAGTTCCATTCGGTGCCCTGTGTGCCTGACTCCTGCCTCTGGTTAGGCTGAAAGGAAAATGTGGGAGCCAGATGTGGCCCACCAACACTATTATGTTTAACACCCTATCTCCAGATGTTTCTAGCTTGTAGTGCTAATTTCCACTTGCAGTTATCCAAGAGACAAATCCAAGATGCTTGCTGCCTTTAGAAAGAGTCCAACTGACTTTAATGTTATCTCTTGCACCCAGGTAGGACAAGCCTGCCCATCTCCAAACTGTCCCTTCTATCTCAAAATCATCTTACAGTGAATTTTTTTCTTCATCATCTGGGTAATAGGATTGAAAAGCAAGAAGAATCAGATTTTTGCCCAGGAAATTTTGTACTTTGCAAGAGAACAGCTCTCTCCAAGGGATGCTCTTCCCTTGGGACTGCACATGCTTTGCTTAAATTTCACCAGCATGTGACCAGAGGGCACGGAAGGACTCACAGGAACGTTCCTAAGTCCCTTTGAAAGGCAAGCTGTTCTTTCAGCCTCTTGCAGAATCACTCTGACAGGGGATGCTGCAATCAGGCTGCAGAGATAATTGCATTTGTAATGTGAAAGACAGAACAGGGTCTACAATTCTCATCCTCCACAGGCTCTGTGGGGACTTAAGGGTAGTCCAAAAAAAGAAAACAACCCCAAATCAACAGACCCAGCCATTGCTTCTGCCATTTGTGATTGGTCTGGGCAAAATATTAGGAAACAATATACTCAAGGGGACAAGATGATCTCATACAGCTGACTTTAAAGCAGCATGCTCCCGTGGAAACTTGTTTCCGTGCCTATTCCAGAGCCCTGACTGCTGCCCGGATCTCCCCTGCCCCCCCTGGCCCAGCTCAGCTTAGTCAGCAAGTTCCAGTTCAACTTCTGCCTTTTATTTTGTGCCTGTACCTGAGTTAGCTCCATTCCTCAGTAACCAGCTCTTTGTCAGAGGAAAGGCTTCCAGGATGCTGCCAGCAACTCATTGTCCGTTTCCTGAGGAGAACTGCTTGCTTTTAAGTAGTTTGCCTGAAATCTTGACTATTCCAGTGCAGCTAAGGCTTCCTGTCTTGGTTTGGCTTTCTTGGGATGAAGTTCCAGCCACCCACATGAGCTGTCTGCCTTTAGTTCTGAGTGTGGAGAGCAAATCTCTGCTGTAGGGTTTCGCCATCGCCGTCTCCTTCCTCTGACATTGCGATATGTGACCGTCCTCGATGTGGCAACTGATTTACAAGCAGTAGCTCCCCACTGTTTATTGCTCTTGGATTTGGAAGGGTGTGGAGACAGGAGCTGGGCTGGAACAAGCTGCAGGGGTTGGATGTAGCAGTGTTGAAGGAAGTCACATTTGGAGCCCGGTGGCTTGGACAAGGAATGCTTCTGCCATGGCTCATCCTCCCTGGTCCTTCCTCAAGTGCAGATCAGACCTTTGTGATGTTCACAGCTCCTGAGTACGAAGGCAGTGGAAGCATCTTGGCATCCCAGGTGGAGATGAGCTTGTTTGCATTCAAGTTCCTCAAGGTTTTCCTCTAATAAATCCTTGCTGTTCCCCGTTTGGCTGGCTGGAACGCCAGGCTGGTTTCTTTCTTCTGTGTCATCAGAGGTGTGGACTTTCCCAACAGAATGTTGCTTATTCAGTCCCATTTTTTAAAAAAGAATGGAACAGATTATCTTTTCAGGGCCTGACTCTTGCTGGTTTTTCAGGAGCAGGTGCCAGCACCTGGTGTGGCCATGAATTAAGTGATACAGGAGGAGCTTATGCAGAACTGACTATAACTTCCTCTCTGCCACTGAAGGATTTACCCTCTCTGAAAGCTTTCCATTTCCATTAAATCCACCCATAGCAATGAAACCTGAAAAAGCCATGAACTCCCACCTCCAGCAGGCTGGCTGGTGTTGGTGTTGTTTGGGTTTTAAACTGGGGAGAATGAGTCAGCCTGTCCTCAGACAGCACAAGACTATCAGCACCGCTTGACCGCCAGTTTCCTGTTGCTCCCTTTTGTTTCTCTCTTTTTTTCTTTTGTTGAAGCTTTTAGGGCCTGGGTGCACATTTGTGAGAGTGTCTGGATGTTTCCCACTACTCTGTGTGTCTTCTCTGCTTATTTTTTTCAAAAGGAGGACCAGAAAGATGCAGACATCAAGATCTTGTCGGAATCTCAACTTCTAGAATCATAACTCTAGCTGCTGGCCTTAGGGAGCTTTCAGGTCCTTAAATAAATCTTTATAAATCAGCATTGACACTGTAGAAATTCACACAACTTGCTTGCAGAGTTGCTCAAAGCGGAGCAGAACAAAACACATTAACTATTTTGGGGTAAAGCTTTAATGATAGGTTAGGTCACAGAGAATTAATGACCATGAAGTTATGGCAAACTCATACCAAACTCTAGTGTTTGGTCTCTGGGATATGGCCTTGATGTCCCAAACTACGCTTTGCATGCTAGGCACTCATATTTTTTTATTGTTCATCCCTTTTTCCTAAAGAAAGGAGCTCAGGGATGTGCAGGAATGCCAGAGCAGAGCTTGTGTGCTGGGGTGCTGAAGGCACATCTTTGTGTTGTAGGCATGTGTGAATATCTGCATGGAAACGGATGCTTTTGGGGATGGGAACCATCCTGGCTGAAGCTGAAGCAGATGGGACACACAGCCTGAACCAGCCTGTCTCGTTCATGCTTTATTAATTAGCCATGTTATCAGAGTCATCTGTGTTTTCCTTCCTTTTCTCCTTTCCAAACCAGTTCTGCTGCTTCGCTGCCCGCAGAGCCTCTGATGAGGAGCCCAGTTTGAATCCCTGAGAGCTGCATGGCAGCACTTGTTCACTCTGCTGTGTCTTAGCACTGTAAAAACTTCGGGGAGAGGTCTCAGAGGAGTTCTGTGAGCTCTGGGGATCAGAATTTTGGGAGCTGTCCTGGTAGGCAGCACATCTTCCCCCTGTGTACTGTCAGTGTTTGTAAGAATTTCCACCACATGTATTAATCACAGGACCACAGAGTGGTTTGAGTTGGAAAGGACCTTAAATATCACCTTGTCCCAAACCCTGCTATGGACAGGGACACCTTCCACTATCCCAGGTTGTTCCAAGCCCCATCCAGCCTGGCCTTGGGCACTTCCAGGGATCCAGGAGCAGCCACAGCTTCTCTGGGAAAGCTGTGGCTGCTAATTTCTGTAGGATGCTTAAAAACTGACATGGATCAGGAAGGTGACTGGATAAACTGGTGCAAGGCAAGTATAAAGATCCCTGGGTAGAAACAGTCCGTGCTGAAGGCTGGGAAGTGTTCTGGGGAGAAAATGGTATGGACTGGTGTGGGTCCAGCCTTGCTTCTAGACCTGCTGCTGATTGCTGCTGGAGACACTGAATTAAGCAGATCTCAGATGGGATCTGTTGTGCCTGATGGGACAGTGTCAGCCTGTCCCTGTGCACACTCAGTTTTAAAATTTTACTGAAAGAGGGAGAAGCTTTTTCAAGTGCTGGGGTAGGAGCCAGGAGTAGGGATTTTCTCAGCTTTCCCTTTGAACCTTTATCTCCCAGCAGGTTAACATCTGAATCCTCAATGTTAGTGCCCTTTATCTGTATGTAAGGGCAAAGTGGGTCATAAAACCCTTTGAGTGAACCCCTTATAGTTTCAAGCTGGTCCCAGTGGAGATTCAGGTTGGTCATTAGGAGGAAATTCCTCATAGAAAAAGGTGTTAAAACACTAAACTGGACTGCCTAGGGATGTGATGGAGTCCCTATCCCTGGAGGTGCTTAAGGAAAGACTGGAAGTGGCACTCAGTGCTCTGATCTGGTTGACAGGGTGATGACAGGTCACAGATTGGACTAAATTATCTTGGAGGTCCTTTAGGGCCTGGGTGATTGTGTGTGTGCCCATCTCTGAGGTGGGAGATGGTGAAACAGGAGTTGGATTCAGTGATCCCTGGGTGGGTCCCTTTGAGCTGTGGATATTCTGTGATTCTCTAAAACCCTATAAAGCCAACCTGAGTATCCTTTCTGACACCTGGGTCTGTTTTATGGCCACCATTTGGCGAGGTGAAGGGAAGACTTATGGATTTGCTTTGTCTGATGCCCTTCCAGGGAAAATTCCCACTCACTGAAGGAGCAGCAGGATCATCCCTGTGCTCACGGCAGGGAAATGACTTTTAACAATGGGCTGGCTTGGATACTGCCCAGATCCCTTCTCTTACAGCAGCACAAGATGATGACCATATCCAGGCTCTTCCCTGGCACACACACTGAGAATATGTTATCCTTGAAGTCCTTTTCCCAGGCGTGGCATGCCTTTGTGCAGGCACAGCGTGTACCCTGCTAATAGGATGCTGGTGTGTTCTGTCAGCGAGTTAATTGGGTCCCTGGGTGCTGGGATATTTCCTGCTGCTGCATCCTCTTCCCGGAGCTACTCCTCCACCTGGGGAACTTCCCTGCTGATGAAGAGGTGATGCTGAGCTCTCTGCAGTGCCCGGAGGTTAAATCCCAGATAAAGCTTTGGGATTGCTCACAGCCCCGGGGGGGGGGGAGGGATGCACACACTGAGAGGGATTTTAATTGTGTTGTGTTTATCGAGCTGGCTGTAAACACAGCAGGAGGTTACTGCTTCTCCAGAGCCTGGGAGCCAAAGGTGTATCGATCCCAGGGAGCTGTGGGACCCAGGTACACGCTGGTGGAGATCTCAGCTGGGTTGTTTCCAGCTAAGGATGAAATTTCTCTGTGCCCTGCGCTTCCTCCTCAGCTCGTGTCAAGCTTTAACGATTTTATAACCCAACTTTGTCAGCTGATCCTCCCCAAAGCAAGAAGCCCTGTTGCTAGGAGTGGGATAGGGGGGAAAAAAAAACCTCAGGAATACTCATCTTCAGCAGTCCAACACTGCAGATAACATTGAGTCACTGCTGAAAGCCTCAAAGCAAAACAGATGTTCAGTTTCTAGTGACTGAGTAAGTATTAAAGGTACCAGATGAGCAAAGTTTTAACTGAGGTATTTAATTTGTGGTTGGCAGCTGAGACAAAGCATGAGCAAACAAGGTGCAATGCAGAAATGGTCTCCCTCCTGTCTTACACATGCCAGTGTGTTTTCATAAAACTTCTTTTGTTCCATTTTTTCCCCCATTTTTTAAATATGTCTTTCCGGCTTGACTCATTCTGTCTGTAGTTGTAACCTTTAGTGCTGGGTGGGAAGGCAATTATTTTGTGAGACATGAGACCAGTGGCAGGGTGAGTGGGCTCCTGTTGCTGCCTCTGTCATCTCCTTGTTTGACAAGTCACTTCTCCAGGAGTAGCTTGTGTCTCTGAAGTTGGGGATAATTACATGTGTTGTCAAAAATAAAGAAACTGGACTTAATGGTGCATCTGCTCAGCCTGAGTTTTGAATTAATGAATGAGTAGAAAACTTGGAATGTGGCTGTCATGCATCTGTTAGCCTTCGAGCAAGAGACAATTTTTGATGACTATATTCCTTAAAAAAAAAAAATTAGGATGAGGAGTGTGATCCCAGGATTCTGGGCTCGTTGGGCAGCCAACACTGGGAGCTGCTGCTGGTGGAGGTGTTGGGTTCCCATTGCTTTGATCCCTGGTGAGAAACCTGCAGCACTGTCTGGCTGTGTGGAGCAGAGGTGCTGAATCCCTCCTTGCCACTCAGACCTGAGCAGGTGATAACATGAAAGGGGAGGAATTGTGTCCTGTTCCTCTGCTCAGCATCGTGGAATACTCAGGTCCAATGAATAATTAATGTAAAACACATGAAAACCCTGAGAAAGAGGACCCTGATCAGAACTTCCCTCCTTGGTAAGTCCATAAATCAGCTCACTCTGTACTTTCTGGAGGAGTGACTCTCATTTTGGCTGCTCAGCACCACAGAAAGGACAGAATAGACTTTGGGTTGCTTTCCCTGGGGTGTGGGAAGTAGATTTTTACTGCTAAGCCCACGTGGGAGCTGAAGCCAAGGCTCCATCCCGCCAGTCCTGCAGGATTTCAGGGTTTTTTGGCAAGTTCTAGATGGTTTCTATTAAGAAAAAGGCTTTTTGGATCTCTTCTGAGGGTGCCTCCCTTTGGAGGCTTTCTCAGGAGTGCTGAGCACTTAATCTTCCACCCCACTTAAGGGAAGAGGGACAGACACCAAACCCTGTTGGCACCTTATTTCACTTAATTCTCGCATTTGATTGTTTTTCCTTCGGCTTTTAAGAGAGTCTCTGCCAAAATCAAGAAGCTAAAAATTAAAGTAATTATTGTGGTGATGGAAGCAATCAGAGGCCACCAGGCTCCTGGTCTGTGTGCTGTGGAGGAAGGAGCAGACTGGGATTGAGCTCATCTCCTGGGACATGCTGAGCTCCAAGAGTTAATTTTGTTCCCGACTTCTCTGTCCATGAGTAATCCATTTGTGCTGGGAGGAAATGGCAAGTTCTTGCAGCGAGGACAGGCTTCACTGCTGGAGAAAATGATGCCTATTTATCATATGATGCTCTCTGTGCCTTTTTTTATTTGTCCTTCATCTGAACTAAGCTCTTTGGTGATGAGCTTCCCTGTCTGACAGCAGATTTTTTTGTAGAGACCTACAAGTGTTTTTCTTTCCTGCATTTGCTGTTTTTTCCGTGCAATTCCTCACAAATTTGTGCTGGGCCCACCCAGCTGGGAAGGAGCTGGACAGGAAAGGATCTAGGTGTCCTGCTGGACATCAAATTCACCCTGAGGAAGCAAAGTGCCCAAAAAGGACAGTGGTGGCCTGGGCTGTGTGGGACAAAACACTTCCAGCAGGTCCAGGGAGGGGATCCTGCCCCTCTGCTCAGCACTGCCTCTGAACATCAGGGAACACATTTTGGCTCTGGGGGTGACTGAGCACGGGCACAGGTTGCCCAGGGATGTTGTGGAGTCTCCATCTTTGGGAATATCCAGCATTTATCTGTCTACAGCCATGGGCAGCTGGCTCTGTGTGACCCTGCTGAGCGGGGAGCTGGACCAGACAGTCTCCAGGAGGTTCTTCTCACCTCCACCACTCTGATGGTGAGACACAGCTCAAGGTCCTCAGGAGATGCAGGGCTGAGCCCTCTGCAGGGGTGAGACTCGTGCACAAATGCAGCTACATTTGGCTCCGAACAGCACTGTGTGATCACATCTCCTTTGCTGTAAGAATGTAAAACGGCTTAATAATTCTTCTCCTGCTGTTTTGGATTAATTT